AGGACGTGGAATGAGGGTTCAAACCAATTATATCTAGATCTTAAGGGCAAGGAGATGCTAGCAGATGAGTGGTTTATAAGCATAAGTAAGTAGGATGTGAGTAATTGAAAAATGAAGGTCAAAAAAAAATAGAAAAGGAATAAAAGCAAGCAAGCAATGGTCACTTAGAGCTCTTATGGGGTTATTAAAAGTAAGTCATGCCAAACTAACGTCATTTCCCTTAAAATTGGGGCTACGAGACTGGTAAATCTGTGGTGCCACAGATAATACATCTTGATTTCAGAAAGGCCTTTGAGAAAGTACTAGAGAATAAAATAAAGAAACATGGTTTATTCATTCAAATGAAGCGAGTTTGAAGCTCATTTCAACGACTTTATTCAAAACATGTTAATATTTGATTGATGCTATCTAAAAGAAAGCTATAGCATTAAACAATTTTTAATGAATAAATTGTTAAAGAAATCTGAAAATGACACCAATTTGGGAGGGGAAAACAAATCAAACATCAAAAAGATCTGGATGGGGCTTCCCTGGTGGAGCAGGGGTTGAGAGTCTGCCTGCCGATGTAGGGGACACGGGTTCGTGCCCCGGTCCGGGAAGATCCCACATGCCACGGAGCGGCTGGGCCCGTGAGCCATGGCCGCTGAGCCTGTGCGTCCGGAGCCTGTGCTCCGCAGTGGGAGAGGCCACAACAGTGAGAGGCCCGCATACAGCAAAAAAAAAAAAAAAAAATCTGGATGGAAAAAAAAAAAAAACAAATAAAAAGATAAAACTAGTATCACAGGAGGAAGATCTAGAATAAAAGTAGTCTGAGTTCAGATACTTGGAGGTTTTAATTGCTCACAAAATCAGTAAGAACCAACAGTATGACAAGGCTATCATAATAGGTAAGATAATACTGGACATTAAATCAGGGAGGTAACTGTCCAAGTATAATATGGAATGTTCACATGAAAGCATTTGTTTTTATTTCAAGATGTTTTGATTTCAACATTTTATGGCAGTTACCTATCTAGAATATGCATAGGAAAGGATTTACAGAGATGATTTGGGGGATTTTTGTTTCTTATATTAGCAAATTAGTAAGTCACAATTCAACCCTCTGCTGAAGAAAACTAACAAAATTTGATGAAATATAAAATACTTCATGTTAAAAACATCAAAAAGCTAACAAAACAGTGCAGAATTTCCTGATATAAGTTCCAGAAGAGGTAACATTTAGTATACAAAGATAGCCATTCACATGAGAAGACAAGACACCATGAGCATAATAAAATGACAGCAGCACAAGCAGACACCCAGGGAGTCCAGACACTGAAGTTTTCAAACTTTAACCATAAAACAAATCTGCTTACAGTGTTAAAGTACATCAAAAAACTTAAAAGCTTTTGCACAGCAAAGGAAAATATAAACAAGATGAAAAGACAACCCTCAGAATGGGAGAAAATATTTGCAAATGAAGCAACTGACAAAGGATTAATCTCCAAAATTTACAAGCAGCTCATGCAGCTCAATAACAAAAGAACAAACAACCCAATCCAGAAATGGGCAGAAGACCTAAATAGACATTTTTCCAAAGAAGATATACAGATTGCCAACAAACACATGAAAGAATGCTCAACATCATTAATCATTAGAGAAATGCAAATCAAAACTACAATGCGATATCATCTCACACCAGTCAGAATGGCCATCATCAAAAAATCTACAAACAATAAATGCTGGTAAGGGTGTGGAGAAAAGGGAACCCTCTTGCATTGTTGGTGGGAATGTAATTTGATACAGCCACTATGGAGAACAGTACGGAGGGTCCTTAAAAAACTAAAAATAGAACTGCCATACAACCCAGCATTCCCACTACTGGGCATATACCCTGAGAAAACCATAATTCAAAAAGAGTCATGTACCACAATGTTCACTGCAGCTCTCTTTACAACAGCCAGGACATGGAAGCAACCTAAGTGTCCATCGACTGATGAATGCATAAAGAAGATGTGGCACACATATACAATGGAATATTACTCAGCCATAAAAAGAAACGAAATTGAGTTATTTGTAGTGAGGTGGATGGACCTAGAGACTGTCATACAGAGTGAAGTAAGTCAGAAAGAGAAAAATAAATACCGTATGCTAACATATATACATGGAATCTAAAAAAAAAAGAAAAATGGTTCTGAAGAACCTAGGGGCAGGACAGGAATAAAGATGCAGACGTAGAGAATGGACTTGAGGACACGGGGAGGGGGAAGGGTAAGCTGGGACAAAGTAAGAGAGTGGCATGGACATATATATACACTACCAAATGTAAAATAGATAGCTAGTGGGAAGCAGCCGCATAGCACAGGGAGATCAGCTTGGTGCTTTGTGACCACCTAGAGAGATGGGATAGGGAGGATGGGAGGGAGACGCAAGAGGGAAGAGATATGGGAACATATGTATATGTATAGCTGATTCACTTCATTATAAAGCAGAAACTAATACACCATTGTAAAGCAATTATACTCCAATATAGATGTTAAAAAAAAAGACTGAAACGATCATACAAGACATGGAAATTCTAGAGTATCGAGAGTAGTCTGAAACTGTCATATAAGGAACGTTCAAAGGTCAAGAAATTTTTAGCTTAAATAAGAGAAGGCATATGTAAGTCCTAAGAGTAACCATCAGTTACTTGAAAAATGCATTTTCCTATTGCCTTGATTCTGTGTTTCTCCAGAAAGTAAACTAGAAACAGTGAATGGAAATAGCAGGGATGCAGCTTTAAGCTCAGTTTGAGAAAAATGTCTTCAGCAATTAGAATTATCCAATATCTGCTTCACTGTCTTGCTATCACAGTAAGTGATCACATATATTGTTAGACAGTTGTGTGTATCGCATATTGTAGGAGAGTCTATCTACTTCAGTAAGATACTAGAGTAGAAGGGCACTGAAGCTTATCCACTACGATTTTTTCATTCTAAGTAGAAATTTAATAGAATCATAAACATTAAAAATATTCTAAGTCACTATATTCCAATGTATGGTCTGAGAATGTTCCAGGATTAATATATTATAGAAGAGTTCTGGGGTCAAGAAATTTGGGAAACTCTGGGTTAAGCAAAGTTAAACAAGTTTCTTTCCTTCAATATTTCTCACCAACTTTAATGCTAATGTGCATCAAAAACATTCAAAGGGAATTTCAGTGTGCAGCATTGACCATAATAAAAACTTTTTTTCATGTTGCATATTTATAAGACAGGTTCTGCAGAATACTTTTAGGGGAATATTGGGCTAAATAATTCTAATCTTAATCTCCAAAAATATTTTTCAATTTGCCTTCATTCTATGTGAAACCTTGAAAGAATTGAGTTGAATAATACAATTCAAATATAAATTTTTATAAGGATGAAACAATAAAAAACTATCGCAATTTACCACCTCCTAATTGATTTTAAAGGCAGTAATTTTCACCTTACCAAAGCCTTTCATTCTGCCTATCCCAACAAATCTAGAGTTAAAACAGGAAATACTGGGTCATTGGAACTAGGAATTACCTGGCATTTAATCTTTCATGCTCACTTCTGGTTATAGCATTTATTAGTGTCTATATTCACATATAAAAAATGAAGCTCAGAAATTTTCAGGGATTTGTTTAAGGTATCCAACAAACCAGTAGCCAAGTAACAAAAAACATTGTTCAAATATCTCACATACAAATCTATTGGTAGATAGTTGCTAGTGATGAAAACTAATCCCTTTCCTGAAAAGCTACTTAAACAACAGCTACAACAACAAAAAGGTGCCAAATTGCCTTTTTGCAGTAATAAAACTATCAAAAGAAAAGGAATCTGAAAGTATAAAGGAAAGGTCACTCTACTTTAGGGTTAAAACAAACATTAGTAAGTAAGAGAAAGATTAAAAAAAAAAAGGTTTAGCTTAGCAATTAGAGAAAATGATTTTGACAAGGTCAATCAGACAAGGCCATCATTTGCCTAATAACGTAGTGATACTACAGTCACCAAGCGCCTTTATGAAAATGCAGATGTATTAATGAACAGAAGAGCAAGGGTCCTATTTAAAGTAGGAGAAACAGCAGCGACTCCAAAGGGTTCTTTGCAACCTTTTCATCTAGACACTATTAATGACTTGGTCAAACTAAATAAATTAAGAAAGTGAAAAAGGCTGAAATAAAATTCCCCTTCTACTAAGCTTCTGCTAAATGGTTTTGTCTAACAAAATAAAGCAAGCAAGATATCTTGCTGCCTTTGTAGTCTCTCCTAGTTAAAATATGTTCTTTACTCTTATTAAATCCATTTATACATTTTCATAATGGATTACTACAGACTACCTGCAAACATGCACTGTTTATCTTAGATCAAGAGGAGCTGGCAGGGCTTCCCTGGTGGCGCAGTGGTTGAGAGTCTGCCTGCCGATGCGGGGGACACGGGTTTGTGCCCCGGTCCGGGAAGATCCCACATGCCGCGGAGCGGCTGGGCCCGTGAGCCATGGCCGCTGAGCCTGCGCGTCTGGAGCCTGTGCTCCACAACAGGAGAGGCCACAACAGTGAGAGGCCCGTGCACTGCAAAAAAAAAGAGGAGCTGGCAAAGTAGTTTTCATTTACAAACTAGGATAAGCTTCCACATGCCTTAAGGTTTTAAGTTTCTCGTTCTCAAATTATTTTTATTTACATATTTGTTTTCTATATTATCTATATAATTGTTACTATATATTTATATAGGGCATAATCATTTAAATGGTCAAAAGCCTAGAACTTTCTCCTAGCCATTTCCTTATCAGTAAGTCATCTTCTGTTTTTCAACCTCCCACTGGCTTTAAGACTAACTTCTGGCTTCATTCTTGTCAAGTATGCATTAGTTTCACAACCCGATCCAGTCATCTTCTGATGGGTGACATTAAGAAACGTGAGTGAGGCCAGGATGCGCTCGGATTGATGCCAGGTTCAGAAAATGGAATTATAAGTGAGAACAATGCCAAGGTAAACTAAGCCATCTTTTACTTACAGCTGACACATGCTGCAAGAGACACATGACATCAATCATATCTGCGAGGATAAGGAGTCTGGTAACTGCAGCCAACAAGGCACGGGCAGCTTGAACCACAGCCTCCCTTTTTGCGAGATAACAGGGATCATCTGCAAATCTCTCAGCTGATACTTTCAGAGCTTCACCTGAAACACATAATCCCAAATAAGTTATACTTTAATTTCACTCATGCCTGTTGCAGCATTTATCATCCAACCTAATTCCAAGTACATTCCATAACTAAGGATAATATTAAAATACTGTCACGACACTAGAACATCGTCTCTCAATAAACAATGCAGTTTCAAACTGACATTTGTTTTTGATAAACGCTCTGGAGTTTAAGAAGCGGGATACCATTTTCCCGCAAGAAAATTGTGCTCAATTGACTAGCAGCATCTAATAAAATTGCTGTCAACTTCTGCATTTACTGAATGTCATTTGCTGTGAAAGGTTTCATTACTAAGACTTCAATCGGAAACAACCTTGTTTATAAAAATAAGGTAAATCTTCACTGAGTTACTTTTGAATTCAATGGATGCTAGAAAAGAGCTAGCCTTTAAGACAGTAAGACAGCAGATCTCTGGTAAAAGTTTAACATAGGCAGATTTATTCTAATATGTCAATATAATGAACAACTATACCCTAAACTTAGTCACAGAAATAATATTTCATAGTACTTGTTACAGAAATATGGTCACTATTTTTAAGGTTTTTTTCATTTAAAATGTTTTATTATAAAAGTAACAGGTACTCATTTATTTTCCAAAGTTCACAGTTCAGAAAGGCATAAAATGACAAGAAAACGTCCCTCTTTACCCCACTCCAGTAACATTGTTAAAGATTTACCACATCCACTATTTTTAAAATTTTTCAATTTAAACTTACTTTTATTATGAAAGCAATATGTGACTCATTACTTTTAAATAATTCACCAAACTAAAGAGTATAGAGTGCAATTTTTTTTGTCTCCATACTAATCCCAAAAACATCCACTAAGTTCTTGTATATCTATCCAGAAATTTTTCTATGAATGTATGCATTATGTGGGGGCATATGTATACATGTACACTTATAAATTCATATTATGTTTTATTAGTATATTCACATATATTCATATATTTGAAAGATTTTATGTCAAAAGAAAACATAAATAGGTATTATATGTTATAAAAGGAACATATAGAAGATATAGATTCTTTTCACAAAAAGTATTATACTAAAAACTTTCAACAATCTGTTCTTTTCACTTATCAATTTATTTTCTTTTCACATTGGGATACAGATGGCCACGAAGCAATAGAGCAAAGAACTTAGTGTGGGCAGAAGCCACTTAGCCTCTTTATGTTTCATTTTTCTCCACTGTAAATGGAGCTAATAATAATACCTACAGTTTTTATGAAGATTAAATGAGAGCAGTAGTTGGAACTTAAAGACTTAATTAGCTGTTATTGTCATTCTTTTTAATGCTTTAATAAAGTTACTTTTTACTGATATATTACAACTTATTTTACCAGGCCCCCCCTTTTTTTAGTAAGTTCTTTTTACAGCTTTGTTGAGAAATAATTGGCATACATCACTGTTTAAGTTTAAGGCATACAGCATGATGGTCTGATTTATACATATTGTGAAGTAATTATCACAGTAGGTTCAGCTAACATTCATCATCTCATACAGATACAATAAAAAGAGGAGATTTGAGAAGATGGCGGAAGAGTGAAACGCGGAGATCACCTTCCTCCCCACAGATACATCTACACGTGGAACAACTCCTACAGAACACCCACTGAACGCTGGCAGAAGACCTCAGACCTCCCAAAAAGCAAGAACTCCCCACGTACCTGGGTAGGGCAAAAGATAAAAGAATAAACAGAGACAAAAGAATAGGGACGGGACCTGCACCAGTGGGAGGGAGCTGTGAAGGAGGAAACGTTTCCACACACTAAGAAGCCCCTTCGCAGGCGGAGACTGCGGGTGGCGGAGGGGGAAAGCTTCGGAGCCACGGAGGAAAGCACAGCAACAGGGGTGCGGAGGGCAAAGCGGAGAGATTCCCGCACAGAGGATCGGTGCCGACCTGCACTCACCAGCCCAAGAGGCTTGTCTGGCGGGCGGGGACTGGGAGCTGAGGCTCGGGCTTCGGTTGGAGCGCAGGCAGAGGACGGGGGTTGGCAGTGTGAACACACCCTGAAGGGGGCTAGTGCGCCACGTCTGGCCGGGAAGGAGTCCGGGGAAAAAATCTCGAGCCGCCGAAAAGGCAAGAGACTTTTTCTTCCCTCTTTGTTTCCTGGTGCGCGAGGAGAGGGGATTAACAGCGCCGCGTAAAGGAGATCCAGAGACAGGCGCAAGCCGCGGCTATCAGTGCGGACCCCAGAGATGGGCATGAGACACTAAGGCTGCTGCTGCAGCCACCAACAATGCTGTGTGCAAGCGCAGGTCACTCTCCACACCTCCCCTCCCAGGAGCCTGTGCAGCCTGCCACTGCCAGGGTCCCGTGATACAGGGACAACTTCCCGGGGAGAATGCACAGCGCGCATCACGCTGGCGCAACGTCATGCTGGCGCAACGTCACGCCTGCGTCTGCCACCGCAGGCTCGCCCAGCACTCCGTACCCCTCCCTCCCCCCCTTGCCTGAATGAGCCAGAGCCCGTGAATCAGCTGATCCTTTAACCCCGTCCTGTCTGAGCAAAGCACAGACGCCCTCAGGCGACCTACACGCAGAGGCGGGACCAAATCCAAAGCTGAACCCCAGGAGCTGTGCTAACAAAGAAGAGAAAGGAAAATTTCTCCCAAAAGCCTCAGAAGCAGCGGATTAAAGCTCCACAAAACACTTGATGTACCCTGCATCTGTGGAATACCTGAATAGACAACGAATCATCCCAAATTGAGGACGTGGACTTTGGGAGCAAGATATATTATTTTTTCCCCTTTTCTTCTTTTTGTGAGTGTGTATATGTACGCTTCTGTGTGAGATTTTGTCTGTATAGCTCTGCTTTCACCATTTGTCCGTCCGGGTTTTTTTTCCTTTAAAAAATTCTTTTTCATAATTATTTTTTATTTTTATAACTTTATTTTATTTTATCTTACTTTATTTTATTTTATCCTTTCTTTCTTTCTATTTTTTCTGCCTTATATTCTGAGCCGGGTAGATCAAAGGCTCTTGGTACTCCAGCCAGGAGTCCGTGCTGTGCCTCTAAGTTGGGAGAGCCAAGTTCAGGACACTGACCACAAGAGACCTCCCAGCTCCACGTAATATCAAATGGCAAAAATCTCCCAGAGATCTCCATCTCAACACCAAGACCCAGCTTCACTCAACGACCAGCAAGCTACAGTGCTGGACACCCTATGCCAAACAACTATCAATACAGAAACACAGCCCCATCCATTAGTAGAGAGGTGCCTAAAATCATAATAAGGCCACAGACACCCCAAAACACACCACAAGACGTGGACCTGCCCACCAGGTAGACAAGATCCAACCTCATCCACCAGAACACAGGCACTAGTCCCCTCCACTGGAAGCCTACAAAACCCACTGAACCAACCTTAGCCACTGGGGACAGACACCAAAAACAACGGGAACTACGAACCTGCAGATTGCAAAAAGGAGACCCCAAATACAGTAAGATAAGCAAAATGAGAAGAGAGAAAAACACACAGCACATGAAGGAGCAAGGTAAAAATGAACGAGACCTAACACATGAAGAGGAAATAGTCAGTCTAACTGAAAAACAATTCAGAATCATGATAGTAAAGATGATCCAAAATCTTGGAAATAGAATAAATACAAGAAACATTTAAAAAGGACCTAGAAGAACTAAAGAGGAAACAAGCAATGATGAACAACGCAATAAATGAAATTAAAAATACTCTAGAAGAGATCAATAGCAGAATAACTGAGGCAGAAGAACGGATAGGTGACCTGGAAGATAAAATAGTGGAAATAACTACTGCAGAGCAGAATAAAGAAAAAAGAATGAAGAGAACTGAGGACAGTCTCAGAGACTTCTGGGACAACATTAAAGGCACCAACATTCGAATTATAGGGTTCCCAGAAGAAGAAGAGAAAAAGAAAGGGACTGAGAAAATATTTGAAGAGATTATAGTTGAAAACTTGCCTAATATGGGAAAGGAAATAGTTAATCAAGTCCAGGAAGCACAGAGAGTCCCATACAGGAGAAATCCAAAGAGAAACATGCCAAGACACATATTAATCAAACTATCAAAAATTAAATACAAAGAAAACATATTAAAAGCAGCAAGGGGAAAACAACAAATAACACACAAGGGAATCCTCATAAGGTTAACAGCTGATCTTTCAGCAGAAACTCTGCAAGCCAGAAGGGAGTGGCAGGACATATTTAAAGTGATGAAGGAGAAAAACCTACAACCAAGATAACTCTAACCAGCAAGGGTCTCATTCAGATTTGATGGAGCAATTAAAACCTTTACACACAAGCAAAAGCTGAGAGAGTTCAGCACCACCAAACCAGCTTTACAACAAATGCTAAAGGAACTTCTCTAGGCAAGAAACACAAGAGAAGGAAAAGACCTACAATAACAAACCCAAAACAATTAAGAAAATGATAATAGGAACATACATATCGATAATTACCTTAAATGTAAATGGATTAAATGCTCCCACCAAAAGACACAAATTGGCTGAATGGATACAAGACCCGTATATATAATGTCTACAAGAGACACACTTCAGACCTAGGGACACATACAGACTGAAAGTGAGGGGATGGAAAAAGATATTCCATGCAAATGGAAATCAAAAGAAAGCTGGAGTAGCAATTCTCATATCAGAAAAAATAGACTTTAAAATAAAGACTATTACAAGAGACAAAGAAGGACACTACATAATGATCAAGGGATCAATCCAAGAAGAAGATATAACAATTGTAAATATTTATGCACCCAACATAGGAGCACCTCAATACACAATGCAAATACTAACAGCCATAAAAGGGGAAATCAACAGTAACACATTCATAGTAGGGGACTTTAACACCCCACTTTCACCAATGGACAGATCATCCAAAATGAAAGTAAATAAGGAAACACAACCTTTAAATGATACATTAAACAACATGGACTTAATTGATATTTATAGGACATTCCATCCAAAAACAACAAAATACAC